ATGTAATCGGTAAATTGGTTAACATTTGTAACATCTCCCTCTGGCACGTATCACAATATTGTCTGCTTTGGACTTCCGACGCGAAAACTTCCCAGGGGTCACCCATCCCTGAATTGCTCTCGTCCGGGCACGTTTAACTGTAGAGTTCTTATGGAATTTGCTGCCCTAACGACTTTAAAACGTGTTGTGACAAGGAAGGTATCCACACCCCTTATAAGGAAATGTTTCGTTCTCACAACGCGTTTTAAATCCGTGAGGGCAGCAGATCCCATAAGAACTCTGCAGTTAAACGTGCCCAGGCGAGAGCAATTCAGGGATGGGTAACCTCATGGGAAGTTTTCGCATCGGGAGCCCAAAGCGGACAATATTGTGATACGTGCCAGAGGGGGATGTTACAAATGGTATTAGAGTTGGGGCACGGGTCGATGTGTTCGATGGGGACGTCGAACCCTATAATTGGGGGGGGGGGGGGGGTGAAGGTGGGTCGCACCTGATCCCACATCGGTTTGGAAGGAGAACGAAACATTTCCTTATATGTGGTGTGGATACCTTCCTTGTCACAACACGTTTTAAAGACGTGAGGGTAGCAGATCCCATAAGAACTCTACAGTTAAACGTGCCCGGGCGAGAACAATTCAGGGATGGGTGACCTCTTGGGAAGTTTTCGTGCCGGGAGCCCAAAGCGGACAATATTGTGATACGTGCCAAATGGGGATGTTTCAACATTGCAACAAAATTTTAAATCTAATGACATAAATAAGAAAAACAAAACACGGTGTCAAAATCAAAATTTCGGTAAACGTAGTGACTTTATTGCAAGTTCGAAAAATGGTTATCGGAAGAAAATGAAAAACCGGTCATTTGGTTGATATTGCAACAAAATTATAAATATAATGACTTAATTGAGAAAAAAAATATGAAGTGAAATCGAAATTTTCGATTAACTTAGTGACTTTATTGCAATTTACCCTTTTAAATTAATAAGTTTGTGAAGATTACATTATTGTTTTTTAAAATATTCAAAATTAGTTATTTTAGTGACACCCACAAGAAGTTTTGCCTTCAAATTTATCTATTTCCAATAAAAAGAAGAAATGAAATGACGTAACCACTAACAAAAAATTGAAAAATTCTAATCGATTTAATGGTTAAAAGACAACAATGTATATTAGATAGCCATTTATTGTAGCCCCATTGGCATAACTCACTTGATTTCGGGATATCATTTCCGACGGTGGAAATGGTAACACTCTTAGCATGTTGTAACGTATAAATTTTTAGTTTTTTTAAAACCACATAAGTTTAACATGTGTAGTACAAAAAATGAGAATGGTAGTGTTATTTTAAAAATGTTTATTTTGAAAAAAAATAAAAAAGAAAAGAAAAGGGGAACAGTCAATCACAACTTATAGACCAACTTTCTCTCTCCTCTCTCCTCTCGTAATGGTTGTAGCGTGGCGCAAGCCAGGGGCGGTGTGTAGCGAGACCTGGCAACCTCCTTGGCGAACCCCACTCCCTGAAGCCTTATAGCAGTAATGATTTATTATTTAACTAGGTATGAGACCCGTGTACTACACGAGTTTATTAAAAATAAATGTAACACCTGGTTTGATTTTGGAAGGTTTTATGCATGGACTCGGCGAGTTGGGAGATCAACTCGTCGAGTAGGGTCGTGGTATAATGGAACGCGGGACGGGATCGACTCGACGAGTCGAAGGGTAGACTCGGCGAGTCCGAGTTGTTTAGAGAAAACCCTAAATTTTGGGGTTTGCCCCCTATATAAACGACATTATACGCCTTTGTAACCTCCCTTAGCATCATAAGAGATCGTTTTCGGCCGCAAACACTTGGGTGTGTGAAGTAAGAGCTTTGGGAGCTTAAAACTTGGGATTGTGGAAGGAATTCCAAGCTTGAAGAAGAAGTATCAAGGGGGAAAGCACTAGATCTAGCATTTAGTTCGTCTTGGGCATTGAATTGAGGTATGAATCTGTTACCTTAAGCTAGATTTTATTTGAGGGTTATGACCAACTTTGAGGAAATGGAAGAAAGCTTAGATCTGGACCTATCACAAGGATATGGTTCCAGATCTGGACCTTCTTAGGTCCCAGAAGTCATAAAGTTACATCTTTTTATGAGCTCATTCCCTCTCCATGCATGAAAACCTTGTTAAGGGTTATTTTTGTGTATTATGGCCATGAGAGGCCTTGCATGCACGTAAAGTTTGCAACGTTACGTGTTATCTTCACTAGTAGAGGATAGATCTGAAGTTTGGGACCTTGAATCCCACTGGAAAGAACTGAATACGTGAGAACTCGTCGAGTCCCTCTGGTGACTCGGCGAGTTGAGAGGGTTCTCTCATTCATGGCCAAGGGTTCACGCCAAGGGTTCAAGGCCAAGGGTTCACGGCCAAGGGTTCACAACCAAGGGTTCACGGTCAGGGTGTACGGTTGGTAGTTTACGGCCGTGAACATCAAGGAACTCGACGAGTCCCTCGGGTGACTCGGCGAGTCGATGAGTAAGCAGGGAACCCGAAGAGTGACTGATTGTACTCGACGAGTCAAGGTCAATATGGACTGTCGACCTTGACTATAGACCTTGACTTTGACCAGGGTTGACCCTGGGGGTATTTATGGGATTATGCTGAGTTATTTACTCATTGATTATAGACAGTTTGGGAGGAGCAGCGTGGGATATATTCGACTACAGTTTGCCAGTTCAGCCTTTGAGAGGTGAGTCTTCTCACCATATCAATGGGTCTAAGGCACCAAGGCCGGCCCATTTTACGAGATACGATTATTGATTGAATGTGCGATATGATAGTATGTTATCTGCATGGAAGACCACGTGGGGGTTCCCGTGGCATTTGGTATAGGACCTTGGAGGGTTTCCATGGCATCCGAAAAAAATATTTGCTTGTATAGTTGCATTGTGTCTTGTTTGGTAGGAAGACCTTGTGGGGGTTCCCAAGGCTGGAAGACCTTGTGGGGGTTCCCAAGGCAGGAAGACCATGTGGGGGTTCCCATGGCAGATGAAGACCACGTGGGGGTTCCCGTGGCATTTGGTATAAGACCCGGGAGGGTTTCCAGGGCTTCCTTATTTGTCGAATGCGTGACTTATGTGATATATGTAGCGTATGGCTAATTTGATATGTGTTATATGGTTTGTTTGTGGGATATGCTCTGGGGGACTCACTAAGTATTCACTTAGAGTTTGTGGATTTGTTTCAGGTTCATCCGAGTCCAAGGGCAAGGGCAAAGCTTGATGGCGCGACGTGCACACACTCTCTCTCAGGCAACTTTATGGGATACTCTAATATTTGAAAAATAAAGTTGTAATGAATATGGATTTGAAACAATTGTTTTGGAATTTCTTAATTTATGGGAATGTGTTTGGTTAATTAAAAATGAAAATTTTTTTTGAAAAATTGGGTCGTTAAAATAAAAGTTTAATATCAATGTATAAATCTTAAATATTTTAAAAAAATACTTTACATAAATGCGAACGATATAATGAATAAGTAAGTAATTCAAGCTATACTAATAAAAAACTATTGACATATTTTAAATAATGATGTTGAAAATTAAGGTGTAAACATTAAATATTTTTTAAATTAACTTTCGAAATAAATACAAACGAAATGATGAATAAGTAGTTATTGAATTTATACTAAAAAAAATTATTGACATATTGTAAATAGTTGTTATGAATCAAAATTTCCAAATACTTCTTTGAAGATGGTGTTCTTTTTCATTTATTAGGGTAGAGATAGAGATGTATTATACACATATTTATTTATAAAATTTGAATAGTTAATAAATTTGTTAGAATTCAAATTAAAAGTCCAAAAAATTAAAGGTATGTTTTGAATTCAAATATATCATCAAATACACGACATTGATTGTGTCATTAGAGCATCCATTTGAATTCAAATATATGTAAATTAATAAACATTTAAATAGAATGAATACTTTATATATATATATATATATATATATATATATATATATATATATATATATAATATATATATATATATATATATATATATATAGGGCTAGGTTATAATGTGGATGACATCTATTGTGTAGACGTAAGGACAATTATGGACCAATCATTTTGGAGTAATATACACTTTTTTTTATATCATCATTTTAGGCAATTAATTAATCATATCCATAAATTTAAGAAACTTATCCAAATCAAATTAATTATATTAATTATTATTTATAATACTTACAGAATACTTGTATATTTTTCCGGTCCCCTCCAAGAATATAATTTCAAATTGAAGAGCATTCTTAAAGAATATTTATAAATATTCTTTAAAACAAAACACAATTCTAAAAGAATTATAAAAACAACATAATAATTTTTTTCTAAATTTCAAACAATTCTTAAAAGAAAACTCTTCATTTGATGCGACGACAATAGAATAACGAATAATTATAGCAACATCAAATAAAGAATGAAGAATCAAAATGATTCTTATTGGAAAACTATATTAAAAGAATTAGAATTCTTAAAGAATATGCAATAATCTTACAGAATGTGATGTATTTTTTTAAAGAATGTGAGGTATTCTAAAAGAATGTATACTACTTGCATGACATAACATTATAACAAACACAAACAAAATGCAAGGATATAATACGTATGTGAAAAGGTTCATATCTAGGCAAACTAATCCAATCATAAAAATGCACTTATTTGCATGTTAAACAAATGATGCGTTGAACAATCAAACTTGACCAAAAGTGATAGAACAAATTCCAAAAAATATTGCTACCTTTGAGCATCCCTCTGCTATCTGTGCAAGAGAGATAAGTTGCAACATGATGTTTCTGCCACTCAGGGGCAGCCAAGTAAGCCGACAACTGTTCAGATGCAACAGGGACAATGGTATTCCCACCTAGAGCAATAGCCAACCGATCCAAGCACTCCTGCCCAACACTGTAATTACTTGACTCTCCTGCATCTTCGTCCTCATTTTCAGCAGTATGCTAAGCAGGTTCATCCTCGACATCCAACAACATCTGCAATAAAATGCAGAACAACCTGCTGATAAACTGTGGCAACTTCCTCATCATACCAGGTGCCCTCTCTCTGGCCTCTGCTAGCGTGATCATAAACTCAATGGCTAGGTGTCGTGTGCCCTCTTCTAGAGTATCTGCTTCAACTATCTGCAACATAGACCCCACCACCTCCACTAACTGCCTCCTCGAGAACCTAGGCTCAGTCCCTACCAACTCAATCAACAATTCCAATGCCTCTTGAGCAGTAGCCTCTTATCCACCATTTAAATCTTCAGTCAAAGTCGTCATCATCGCTGGAAGCAAATCCTGGAACCGATCCCTATCACCGGAACTCAACAAACACCGAATAAAATTAATTACATGACTCAAAGCAGCAATCCTCACGTCTGAGTTCCCCGACTTAGTCAGGCACTGCAAAAACACGCCATGAAGATGCTTTATGTGTGGAATTAAAGTCTCCCTAATGTATTGTGACAACTGGGCAAATATCAAGAACGCAGATTCTTGAAGCTTGGGAGAATAAGAATAAACGCACTGAAACATAAACGGAAACAGTTCCGGCCAACCGTTATCCGGCAGGATACTTGAAGCCAATTCCGAGATCATATCGCATAGCTTCTTCATTATCGTCTTCGCTTCTTGTTGTTGCACACAAGCCAAAAGAATAGATTTAAGTGAAACCTGAGTCGTCGGAGATAACCGATTCCATACCAATGAATCATTAAATTAATTACCTAAATAAAAGGGATTAAGGATTTAATTATTTATTTACAAAAATTAATATTGTAAAATGATTGGTCCACACTAATCCCTACATCCACACAATGACTGTTCATCCACATATGAACCTCTCTCTCTCTCTCTCGATATATATATATATATATATATATATATATATATATATATATATATATATATATATATATATATATATATATATATATATATATAGAAGTAAGTTCAAATAAAAACAGTAAATAGTGTGAGAACATAAAAACATTATATTTATATTATTTTTCTGTAATGAATTTTGTATATGTGTATATATATAATAGTAGACTCATTAATTAGTAGAATTGATTATTGATTAATAAAAAAAAATAAAGATACCACATAATCACATGTGAAATTTAAATAATTGTATAATCTCATATAGTGACATGTGGAAAAAGCTTTGAGAAATGACAAATGACAAAGAAAAAAAACTTTCATTAATTAGAAAGGACAATCTTTATCTTTATTTTGATATTAAGATAAAAATATTTTCTATAATGTATACTAGTTTACATTTAGATTATTACATACGTACCAAAGCTGATGCTTATCGGCTATCAGGGTTTGAAGTCAAACCAACCAAATTAAGCAATTTTTTTAGACTTTTTATTACGATCAAACGTCTAGCTGACAATAGTGTCAAGCAATAATGCCTTCTTAGTATAATCCTTCCCGAAAACACTCTTATTCCTAAAATCCACACGTGCCACCATATGACAAAAGAGGATTGCTTCGAAAAATTTCTTAGCATCTTAAGTCCTTCAAACCAAATCACCCACTCATCAAACGAAGTATTATTATTATCATTTTTTATACATGTGAAATAAAGTAACAATTGTTATTTCTAGTAATAAAGAAACACATATATTCCGTGTAAGAGATTAGGGCATCCACAATGCATCGAACTCCATAGAGTTCAATGGATTGCCACGTCATCTTTCTACAATCCATACAACTCTATTATTTTTTTTTCTCTACAATGCATTGAACTCTACAAAGTTCAATAGAATGTTACAAAATGTAACTTATAGTAAATATTTAAGAATTAAAAACTTTCTTTTTTTCCATTGAAGAGTTCAATGGCCATTGAACTCCAAATCCATTTAATGCCAACGTGGTATCTCACAATGGTAGAGTTTAATACATTGAATGACACATGGACTTGTCGCCCCATTCAATTCTGCCATTGAACTCACCATTGTGGATGATCTTAATTTAAATCAATGTTTTAAAACACATGTTTTTAGCTGACTTAGTATGGCGACTAAACACGGTTCTTTCAAGATAGAGAAGAAGATGAAGTAGAGAGAGAAACAATGAATGTGTAACAACTTGTATTGATCTATCTTGTGTTACAATTACAAAGAATGAAAGAACTACTTTGTAACAGTCTAAAACTAGAAATATATATATATATATATATATATATATATATATATATATATATATATATATATATATATATATATCAAGGTTGTAAAAATCGTTCGACGGTAGCTCGACGGTCGACTGGTGTTAAGGGATTAATCGGTCTTGGCGGGGATTAATCGGGGATTAATCGAGGACCATAGATTATTAATAAAATATTAAAATTAATTAAATATTAATATATCTTAAGAAAAACAAGTACTTCAAAATTAGAAAATAAGAAAAATTGTAATTTGGAAATTTGGAAATACGAAAATATGAACATTTTGGTATAATATTCGAAATTTGAAAATTTGAAAATGTTGGAGTAAAAAAAAAGTTGGTTTTTTGAAATGTTTTTTAAATTTTTTAATTTTTTTTAAATTTTTTTAATTTTTTTAAAATTTTTTTGACATTTTTTGATTTTTTTTGACTTTTTCGACTTTTTTGACTTTTGTTGACCGATTAATCCCGCCAAGGCCGATTAATCACGCCAAGCCCGATTAATCCTAAATTTTCGATTAATGCCTTAATCCTCGACGGTTGGAGAACGGCAAACGATTAATCCACGATTAATTGCCGATTTCTGCAACCATGGATATATATATATATATATATATATATATATATATATATATATATATATATATATATATATATATATATAATTTTAAGGTCCATCAAATCATTCATCAATTATTTCAAATCCAATACCAAATCATAATATTCAAAACATCAAAGTACAATTATTCAAATTGCGGAAATCATATGAGGAGGATGATGTACCATCATGTCGGGCTCTTCATTTTCAAATCGGAAGTACTTGAAAGCATAAACATAAACTATAAGCACGAAGCTTAGTGAGTTCCACCAAAGTACCACATACCAAACATACGAATATAGGCCTCGCCCTGGGGTATATTTCAACCAAATAAACAAATATGGGCCCCGCCCTAAAAACTCGCCCTAGGGTATATTTCAACCCGAACATGCCATAGTGGGCCCCGCCCTGAGGTATATTTCAATCCAACATATCATATTGGGCCATGCGCTAGGGTGCATTTCATCCCGAACATGTCATAGTAGGCCCCGCCCTGGGGTGTATTTGAACCCGAACATACAAACACATATAAACCACATAACAGCTATCATTCTACATAAAGCTATAATGGGTCGGCATTGGTGCCTTCGACCCATAGATACAGTGAGAAAACTCACATTACAGATAGATGAGAAACTGAAACAACACGCTGCTCCGAAATTAACTTTATCGATCACCTTTAAGAATACAGTGACCAAAACTCAGAATACAGATCAAAATACCCCTAGGTCAACTTTTGGTCAAAATCTTAGTCAAAGTCAACCGAGTCAACCAGGTCAACTCGGTAAGTACACTAGGCGTACTCAAAATGTACGCGGGGCGTACTGCTTGCTTGACCAAACAACGAAGGGCTAACCACGTACGCGTAGTGTACCCTTTGGTACGCCAACATACGTGACTGCCACCCACTCAACCCATTAAGTGCTTTATCCTTAAGCACTTACGTCCAAAATCCAGATCTAGACCCTAAAAGGTGTTCTTAACCATAAAGTTCCCAACTTTATGGTTTTGCATGTCCATTAAGACCTTAACATCAAAAATTCCTAGCTTTTTGACCCATTAAGACAACCTAGATCATGCATGGAAATAAACTAATGTCCAAGATCACATTTTGATGACTTAACACACCCTAAAACATCTAAAAGGACAATTTAAAGGTCTTGGAGTATGCCATACTCACAAAGATCAAGAATTGGGACAAAAGGGTGCCAACTTAATGCTAAACCAGATCTTAATGAAATATGCATCAAGGTTGGAGCTTTATACCTCCAGAAGATGTACAAGAGAGAGTAGTTGATGGATCCAAAGCCTTGAGTGAAACACCACAACTTCTAGGTTCCTCCTTCACCACCAAGAGCACTAAAATGGCACCAAAATGACTCTCCAAGCTTCAAAACACACTCACACACTTTAGGGTTTCGAGATAGGGATGGAGGCTGAAGATAAGGAAGGGTATGGGGCTATAATGATGCTTAAATAAGGGTGCAAACCCTAAAATTTAGGGTTTGATCCCTGGCCACGTATGCCCAACGTACGCGAGCCTTGCCCAAAAATTACGAAAATGCCCATTGGGACTAAATTTGCAAACCAAACTCAAATCAAGGGTCAAATTTGAAAAATACCTGGAAATCAATATGTTACAACTCTCCCCCACTTGAACTAGACTTTGTCCTCGAAGTCTGCCGCCGATAATAACTCAGGGTAGTGCTCACGCATCTCCGCCTCAAGCTCCCATGTCCATTCGGAACCCCTCCGATGTTGCCATTGGACCTTGACCAAAGACACTTATTTGTTGCGTAGGGCCTTCATCTTCCTATCTAAGATCGCTACTGGTCTCTCCATATAATTCAGGCGTTCATCCACCTGAATATCATCCAAGGGAGCAACCGCAGACTCATCGGCCACACACTTCCTAAGCTGAGACACATGGAAGGTGTTGTGAATCTGGCTGAGCTCATCCGACAAATCCAGCCGGTATGCAACCTTGTCCACCTGGAAAGAAATCCTGAAGGGACCAATGAATCTGGGGTCCATCTTTCCACGCTTCTAAAATCATATGACACCTTTCCAAGGTGACACCTTCAGTAGCACCAAATCTCCCACCTGAAACTCGAGGTATGAACGTCGCCGATCTGCATCACACTTATGCCAGATTTACGCGACTCGCAACCTGTCGTGCACCTATTGAATCAATTCAGTGGTCTTGGGTACCACCTCAGTACTCCCCATGACCCGATGCCCAACCTCCCCCCCAGCAAACTGGTGTCCTGCACCTCCTTCCATATAACATCTCAAACGGCGGTCGGTCAATACTGGCATGATAACTGTTGTTGTAGGAGAACTCGGCCAGTGGAAGGTAAGTATCCCAACTCCCTCCAAAATCTAATACACAAGCCCGAAGCATATCTTCGAGCGTCTGAATCGTCCGCTCGCTCTGGCTATCAGTATGGGGGTGGTATGCTATACTAAAATGAAAATGAATACCCAACTCCTCATGAAACTTCCTCCCAAACCTGGAGGTGAAACGAACATCCCGGTCCGAAACCACCGAAACTGGCACCCCGTGCCGAACTACCACCTCACGAATGTAGATGTCACCCAACTTCTCAGCATATATACTCTCGAAAATCGGTATGAAATGTGTACTCTTGGTCAGTCTATCAACAACGACCTAGATAGAATCATCTCCACGTGCCGTCCTGGGCAGCTTTGTGATGAAATACATAGTAATCTTTTCCCACTTCCACATGGGAATGCGTAATGGCTACATCTTGCCGTGAGGTCTCTGATGTTCGACCTTGACTTTCCTGCAAGTTAGGCACTACTCAACAAACCAAGCTTT